TAACAAATTGTGCTGCTATAAACATGGGTGCACATATATCGCTGTGGTAGGATATCTTTAATTCTTCTGGGAAAATAGCCAGAAGGGGAATACCTGGGTTAAATGGGACTTCTAATCCTAGTTTTGTGAGGAATCTCCAAATTGATTTCCACAGTGGTTTCACCAATCTGCATTCCCACCAGCAGTGGAGTAGGGTTCCTTTCTCCCCACAGCCCCTCCAGCGTTTGTTATTGGTTGATTTCTTGATGATAGCCATTCTTTCTGGGGTGAGGTGGAATCTCAGTGTTGTTTTAATTTGCATTTCTCGAACGACCAATGGTGTTGAACATTTTTTCATGTATTTAGTCATCATTAGTATCTCTTTATTAGAGAAGTGTGTATTTATCTCAGATGCCCATTTTTGGATTGGGTCTTTGAATTTGGGAGGCCTCATTTTTTTTAAATTGTTTATATGTCCTAGATAGAAGTCCTTTGTCTAAGAGGCACTTGGCTAAAATTTTTTCCCAATTCGTGGGTTTTCTTTTTACTTTATTGTTGATTTCTTTAGATGTGCAAAAACTTTTCAATAAGAGGAGATCCCAGTTGTTGATTCTTCGAAGTATTTCCCATGCAGTTTGGTTTTTGTTCATGAACTCTCTGCCTACCCCAGTGTCATCAAGATTTTTACCTACTGTCTCTTCCAATAAATTTAGTGTTTCTGTTTTAATATTTAGATCTTTGACCCATTTTGACTTTAATTTAGTGCAGAGTGAAAGACATGGGTCTAGTTTTAGTCTTCAGCATGTGGAAAGCGAGTTTTTCCAGCACCATTTATTAAAGAGGCTATCTTCTTTCCATTGAACATGTTTGGTCCCTTTGTCAAAGATGAGGTGACTTGAGTGTGTTTGTAGTTGTATCTGTATCTTCTAATCTGTTCCTTTGATCTTCAGGTCTGTTTTTGTGCCAGTACCATACTGATTTTATCACAGTAGCTTTGTACTATAATTTTAGGTCAGGAATTGTGATGCCTCCTGCCTTTCCTTTGTTTCCCAAGATGGCTTTTGCTATTCTAAGCCTCTTCTGGTTCCAGATGAACGTTAGGAATGTTTTCTGTAGATCTGTGCGGTATACTAATGGTATTTTAATTGGGATTGCATTGAATCCATACAACAATTTTGGGAGTATGGCCATTTTCACAATGTTGGTTCTTCCTATCCATGAGCAAGGAATATCTTTCCATTTTCTGATATCCTCAATCTCTTTTTTCAGAGCACTATAATTTTCACTGTATAGATGTTTTACTTCTTTTGTTAGATTGATTCCTAAGTA